TTTTTATACCATAGACTAGGCCCTATGAGCTTGGTCCCAGTTTGTCTCTTATGAACTTTATGGTTTTGGGCTTTATTCCCAGGTCTCTGATCCATCTTGAATTGATCTTTGTGTATGGTATGAGATGTAGACCTCATTTCAGCTTTCTGCAGTTAACAGTCCAGTTTTGCCAGCAACAATTGTTGATGAAGTTATCATTTACCCATTTGATAGGTTTGATTTCCTTGTTGAATATCAGTTGACCATACATAGATGGGTCGTCTCTGGGTTCTCAATTATCTTATATTGGTTTGCATGCCTGTCATTCTACCAGTTCCATGCTGCCTTGGTTACTACCACTGTGTAGTAGGTTTTGAGGTCAGGGAGTGCTATGCTTCCCAATTCATTTTTGTTTTTCAGAAGTGCTTTGCTTTGAGGTCTCTTTCCTCTGCAAATAAACTTGACCATTTCCCTTTCACTCTCCTTGAAAAATGTTTTTGATACCTGTATTGTGATTGGGTTGAACATGTAGATTGCTTTTGGTAGGATTATTATTTTCAAATATTGAATCTTCCTATCCATGAACAGGGAACAGTTTCCCATTTATTTAGGTATTTTATTGTGTCTCGCAAAAACATTCTGTAGCTTTGTTTGTATAGGTCTTTTGTGTCTCTAGTTAGGTTCACTCCCAAGTATCTCAATTTGTGATTGGCTGTTGTATTTGGAAGCAGGAGTAGCATCCACTTCCTAAACAACATATCTCTGGAAACTCTGTGAACTTTAAGAAACAATGATAGTTATAGAAATGTTCAGGTTTTTTGTTCATAGAGTTGCTATGAGTTGTGCTCGACTCAACAGCAATGAACAATAACAATAACATTGTAAATAGTATTACTTTCTTGGTTTCATTCTTTGAGTTCTCTTTGTTACTGTTAGAGGAATCCCACTTATTTTTTTTTAATATATATTAATGTTGTATCCTGCCACACTACTAAATTGATCTACAACTTTAACAGGATTTTGTTGTTGAGTCTTTGGAGTTTTCTGTGTATACTATCGTATCATTAGCATATAATGACAGTTTAACCATCTCTTGGCTGATCAGGACAACTTTTATTTCCTTCTTTTGTCTATTGCCCTAGCAAGTACTTCTAATGCAATATTGAATAGAAGAGGTGACAGTGGACATCCTTGTCTGGTCCCTGTTTGCAAGGAAAATGCTTTTAGTCTTTTTCCATTGAGAATGATATTGGCTTTTGGTTTTGCATATATACTTTTTTACTATGTTGAGGAAAGTTCCTTCCATCCCAACTTTGCTGAGTGTTTTAATCAGGAACGGGTGTTGGATTTTGTCAAATGTCTTTTCTGCATCAGTTGCTAGGATCATATAGTTCTTGTTATTTGTTTTGTTAATGTGGTGAATTACATTGAGTGTTTTATAGTCTCAGTCTTGTTTTTCTTATCGCTTAGTACATACTCAACATTTTTTGCAGTTATTCATTGTTGTTGAGTTCATTGCAACTCATAACGACCCCATGTGTACTGAGTAGAATTACTCCATGTTGTTGTTGCTGTGTGCTGTCAAGTCAGCTACAAGTCACAACAATCTTATGAACAATGGCTCTGAACCTTGCCCTATCCTAAGCCAACCTCACTGTCTCAGACACACCTAACCTCATTGCCACAGTCACTGTGTTAATCCATCTCATCCAAGGTATTTTTCTTCTTTGCTGACCTTCTACCATTCCAAGCATGATGTCCTTCTCCAAGGACTGGTCTCTCCTGGCAACATGCCCAGAGTATGTGAGGCAGAGCTTCAAAATCCTTGACTCCCAGGGGCAAACTGGTTTTCCCCTCTCCAAGACAGACC